TCATAAAAGCAAAAGAAAAAGTGCATACTGTGTTAATGAATTAATGAATAAAATACTTAATAACCGAAAAATGAGACTAACAAATTCGAATTTAGTCTCATCTACGTAATGAGATTAATAGAAAATGGACCGAGTCTAGTTTAAATTAGTCAGTTGATGATTTCCTGTATATCTTGCATTTATCATATAGCAAAAATGACAAAATTATTTTTGCATCAGTTATCGTATGACTCACAAAAAACAACCACTTGACTTAATCGGATTTAAGAGTAACTTAATTTTTAACCATTAAAATGTACTAATTAGTTTTATTTAAAAAATCCAATGATATGACCAAAACTCAGCAATTATCAATTATTTGTTATTGCATAATCTAATTGACTTGTTTAAAAATTAATTTCCAGGACGAACTTTATGTAAGCATATCGTCTTAAAAATTTTTACTTCATTAAAGTTTGATCAAATCAGCAAAATTGTTTATTTTACAAAAATAGTTTTGCAAATTTTATTTGTACTTGCATGATTTATCGCTTTTTTTGTTTTCAAGAAAAGAAAAAGTTTCTTTTTATGTTTCTCTAAATTGCTTTAATAAACGGGAAAAAATAAAAATAAAAATTTGCAATTTCTCAAATTTTGTCCCAAATTCTTCGTAACTTTTTTTGTAACAATTTCCATATATCTTGATAATTAGTTTATGTATGTGCTAATATGTTGCAAAATTAAAATGAACAATTTAATTTCTGAATATATTGAAATTTTCTAACTTACAGATCTTATTTTTCAAAATTTCCTTTAATATTTTAATTCAGTTAATTACGTATTCAAATTATTGCGTTGATAGGATTGGGAACTTTTTGGAATTTATAGATGACTGTTATTCATGAATAATACCGTGTGAAGCAAATTGTTAAATTTTATTCATTACTGTGACTTTTTTATTATTATGTTATATTTTTGTTACTCATATTATTATCTGAAATAAATAGTAAACAGTTGCCTTAACGTAAAATAGAAATTTCAATTATTTTTATCATTTCTTTGCTTCAAATTAAAAAAAAATAAGTGGTAATGAAAATTGTGCAATCGAAAATTATAATTGAGGAGCACTTGAAGGATTGTTATTTCTGTGTTAGCAACAGAATGAAAACGAAATACTAAACGGAAATGACAAATATTTCGAATAAAAAAGAAAACTGATTAAAAAAAAATGTTGAACGGAAAGGATAAATATTTCAAAAATAGAAGAAAAATTTCTCATACATTTTCTTGCCTTTCAGATAACATATCACTGATTAGATATGATTAAATCTCGCAATTCGTTATATTTTCAATAATTTTAATGTAATTTTTTCATACTTATCCAATGACTATTGATCAGAAATGATAAATATTTATCATGCAATCATTATTCATGCTAATTTGAAAAAGTCGAAATTTTGTCTTAAATTTACTGCATAAATGATGCGAATAGTTTTTTTTTCTTTTTCCTTTTTTTTTTTACTTTTTTTGACTTTTTCAAAATGCTCACAGTATCGTTTACATTTGGACATACTTGAAACTATTTATAATTTTATCATTGACAATCCGTTTTTACAATGATTAGATCATTTCGTTCTTTGATACTTTCAGAAAATGATACATTGATTTATTCTTTGTAATCATTATTCATGTTAATCATCCGTATTTTATGATTTATAATTTGGAATGTTTAGCATCGTTATTTGAATGTATCATTTTTTTTCAAAAATCTAATTAACAATTTTCTCATGCATTTGTTTTCAATGAAATGCTGAATCAATTAGTTTACATTTTATGAAATAGGAAATAAATAAACAAGAAGAGAATTAGATTGGACAGGACAACGAATATGCCTCAATTAAATGAAAATGACAGGGAATGCTGTCCTTAAGGTACACTGTTTTACTAAAAATAGCAAAACTATCAAAGTAGTTTAAGTAATCAGGTGTTTCTTCCTCTTTCTTTTTTCTTTTTTTATCTAGGGAGAAGAAAGAAGAAGGATCACTCGCCCTCTTTCTTCTTTTTCTAAATATGACATGTATAAAAGGTCACTTTTCATTCCCACTCGAAGTCCTTTCCTTCCTCCTTCTCCGTTTCTTCCTTCTCCGTAACCGATAATAGTCTAATCATCTTGTTTCATCCGGTTCTAGGAAAAATCAAGTTAGGAATTTTATTTTACTTATTTTTTTTTTGTGAAGAATACTAGTAAAATTAGTTGTCAGTGCAATATCAACAAAGCATAAAGGCGTATCAACCATGACAGCTTGATATTGAAATTAGAGGAGAGTGTGGAGTTTTATCTTTCGAAAATTAATGAATTTTTCATGAATTTTGGAAGTATTGCGTGGAGTTATTCAATTGAAATAATAAATATTAGTAATAAGAATAGATGTGTTTATTAGAAATGAAATGACGTTTGTCATAAAGCACTGAAGCATAAATGATTAATAGAAAGAAAGCGAAATATAGGTAACAGTGGAGTAGGCTTTCATTTATTACCTTTTTTATTCTTTAACGGTTTCATTGTTAAAAATGAATTCTTGGTTAGGTTATTTTTGAAAACCTGTTGTAAAAAGCTAAAAAATAGCTGACAAATTTTGGGTTAAATTTCACCGCTTGTACCAATTAAAAATATTTTTTTACAAGGAAAGAATTTCAGTTACAATTTAAGATAACATTACTTTTTTTTTTCCTTTTTAACTACTTTTGTATAATACCAAACCTAACCAATCATACATTATTTTACCTTCCTTTAATCCATTGAAAAATTGGTATTTAAATGTTTTAGTAAAATTGTACACTGTCTTGCATAAAACTTAGTTAATATGTTCGTAAAATCCTCAAGCTAGCTTAATGTTTTAATTCTATAAATTCTATTTTCTTTTACAATTCTATTAATTCTATTTTCTTTTTCCTCATCCTTAATCGATTTCTAATTTTTTTTCCATAAACCATACGTCTGTAATTTTGTTTTTCTTTTCTTTTCTACCTAAAGTATATTCAAAGGTAAATTGAGAAATTTTTGATTACTTCGAATAAGTAATCATCATATTTCTATTTTCTTTTCGTATTGGAGACAACTAGTTACAACGATAACAGCTTCCTTCAACTTATAGTTTAAATTGAATAACCTTTTCCTTGAACAATTAAATTTCCTCTTTTTATGTTGAAAAAAGAAATGTAGTGGAATAAATGATAATGGATGTCGATATTTATGTTGGCATAAAAAGCATGCAAAATTTGAATTCTGAAATTTAACGAAAATTTCGTAAATTCTGAATCTCAGTGATTTTAGAACAAAATTATGCATCCTCAACTTCAATTTCATAAAATTTATTCCAAAATGGTTTCGAAATAAATTTTTTTGCTTTCTCCCTAGATAAAATTTACCAATGTTATATGATCGACGATTGTTTTCATTTATTTTGGTTAAAAAAAAAAAAAAAAAGAAGGAAAAATGTCCAAATTAGTGTCACATGCAGCAGTGCTTCTTGTTTTTGGAGTGGAAAATGAATATGGATGACTGATTGAGAGGGAACCATTAATGGACATAGAATTACTTTTTGTTGTCCATTTATCAAAGTGCAATGTTCAGATTGTTTGTAATTTTTTTTTTTTCTTAATGAAAAGGGGGAAGGGGAATTGGATGAAAAGCAAGAAAGTAAGCTTGCACTCTCAGTGTATTTTATTCTTTTATATAACTTGCCGATCTATTACTTTTCTTTTTTTGATTAATTTTTGCTATTGTTAACAATGCTTTTTTTTTCTTTCTTTTCATCCTTCCTTTCAAATTTCGAACAATAAAATTGAACTTTAATTTTACTGTATTTGCTATAAATGTCGCAAATGAATATGGTTAAGATAAATTTGAATAAAGCTATAATTGCTTTAAACTTATCAATATCTTTCAGTTAATACAATATTAATACATAAACATAACTTATCAAAACTTTTTCAAAAAATAAGTAAAGGAAAAAAAAAAAAGATGATTAAAAGGAATGAAAATTCTCGAAACATTCATAAATATAATGGACATGCAACTGCACTGCTGTATTCCATTTTGATTTGGAAAAGTTTTTGAAGAAAAAATATTTTATAAAACGCACTTTTTAGATGAATATTAAATCATTTCTCCAAATAATTTAAGGGTAATATGTACTTTTTATGTAAAGAAGTATTATGACAAGTCTCAACTTCTCCCTTTCAATATTCTATAAATATTACATAAGCTAATAGATTTTATTTTTATTTTTTAGTTGTATTATTGTTATACATTCATTTTGTTGCATAAAAGATGATGTATTTGAACAATTTGTTTGTTTAATTTTAGTTCCATTAATGAAATTAACCTTTTTTAAGTTATGTTACTTGTATATATTAAATTAATAATTATCGATAACTTAGCTTTCGATTTGTTCAATCTTTAGCCTATCAAATATGCAACAATAATTTTTCAATTTCTTCAAACTTCTAAGACCCATTATTGCTTTGAAATTACTTTGCTACTCCAATACTGCAATATGAATGATAATCAAATCGGATATATGAATAATGATTTCAACTTATAACTTATAACTGCCTGTATCAAACTTACCTCATAAATGCTTCGTTTACCTCAGATAAAACAGATCGCTTAAGATTTTTTTATTCACTTAAAAATAGTTTCTAATCGTTTAATTCTCTTAATGAGTAATACTATAGTTGCAGTTGATGAATTCATCTACGGATAAAAGTGTACACCAACAACAACGATTCACTGTAACAACGTTTGGTTCAAGTATGTTTAGTTCCTTTCTATCTATTAATTCCTATTTTCATCCTTGCTTAAAGTTAAAAGTAGCAAAGACGAAAAATTGAAATGATACAAATACTGCAATAGCTAAATTGTATTCTTTGAATTACTAAAGATTGCTTTAAAACATTTATATTTGTTAAATGTTAAGTTTCAAAGATGAAAGATGTTGCATATATTGAATGAAACAAATATGATAAATGGCTTTGAAATGTCTGCTTACAGCTTATCAATATTAGGCTATGCACAAACTTGCAATTAGGACATTCTGTAAGGGCAAATCAATCATACCGGTTCAGTATTTATCCATTCTGATATATTAGTCGAGAGTATATAGATATGAGTGCAATAAAATGTAGAGGATAACTAGTGTATCTGGCTTAAATAAGTCTAATCTAAGAACTGTTATGTTATTGTATTTTTGTCATTTAATTTTTATTACTTAAGATAACATTCAATTAACAAATAGTAATGACGTAGAAAAAGATAATAAACTTATTTATGCTTGCATTTTAACACAATTAGCTAATGAACGAAGAAAAATGTTTTTGCATATGAGTATATTATCCATTCTTTAGAATTATTTGTTGAAAATTTCCTGCAGATATCATGTCAAACAATTTTACCAAACAATTTGCAACTTATTGGAATCCATCCACTGAAATACGCTATGAAAATTGGCTGGAAACCCAAAGGAAACAATTTCATACCCAAAAAGAGTACGATCATTGTTAGTATTTATGAGTACGACATTTTGCCTTCTTCCTCCCCTCTCACCTTTCTCTTTTCTTACAAGTATTCCAGAATTTTAAATTCTCAATATTCATTGAATTTAGAATTTAAAAATTAAGGAGAGATTCTTTTTTTTTTTTGTTCATTTTATTTCGTTTACCTATATATATATATATTACTTCTTTACTCCCAAAAGTATTGAATTGTTATTTGGGTTTTGAATGAATTCAATTTCTGGCAAACAGTGTTGCATTATTTTTAAACAGTTGATATTTTAACAGAAAGAAAGAAAATTTTGTTTTGAACAACTAACATCATATTTTCAGCCATTTATCAATTAAAATCTTCATTCGCATGTACCAACCAATTCATTAGTTCATTTTCGGGATCACAAGCTAGTCTAGAAGATGACACTCAATGTAATTCAAAGTAAATGAAAGGACAATATGGTTCATTCTCACATCATTTTTATTTTTTATTTTTATTTTTTTAATTCTTATAAATGTGCCATATATGAAAAGTAAGGAAACAAAAAAAAGAAAAAAGCTTGTGTATTTCACGTTGCTAAGACAACAAAAGCTTTTTTGAAGATACAGCTATCATTTAAAATTGTTGAATTGTTGATATTTATATCAAATTTCGCAAGTTTCATTAATGAAAAGAACATGGAAATTTGCAAGAAATTTGAATCAAAGCCAAGATTGATTTTGCAATGATAATTCTTCCTTGTGTCACTCTTCCGGAATGGAAAAAGAAAAAAAAAGCGATACGATGAAAGATTAGCCGAATCCTGAACACTATCATTTGTAACAATTGTATTGTATAAGATTTTGATGTAAAATTGTGTTTATCAATTTTTGCCTGTCAACCAAAATTTTTAAATTTGATCATTTCATTGTTGAAACATTCGCCATATTCCTGTATTTAATTACTTTCTTTGTATTTTTAATGAATTATTGATTGGGATTTCAAGTGAATGTAAAGGATCTCCGTTTTTTTTTCTTTTTTTTTTTATTAAGTCTATCAAGCAAATATTTTAATGGAATAAAATTTTGTCTTACATTTGCTTGAAAATGACATAGTATAAATTACAGTAAACCTAATAGATCTAAAATACTGCAAGAAGTCCAAGATTATTGCCCATCTTCCACCACCAAATCTAATCCCTTATATTCCTTCGGCTATTTTCATGTTTTATCTTTCCTTTTTCCCATTCCTCTTGTTGTTGCAAAAGTGCAGTATTGTTGAAAAAGATATTGAATGAAACATTTTCTTAGCCAGTTTTCAATGAATTAAAATAGACAATATTTACATGCAGTAATGCTTCTTTTTTTATTTTTCATTTATTTAGTAAACATTGTTTAAGAATCAAAACTTCAAATTCATCTTTTCCCTTCTTACCTTATTAACTTTTCACATTAGCATAGATCAATGGTTTCCAACAGGTAATCCACAAAAGCGACAGCGAGATGAATAGAAAAGAGGCAAGGGATCGTTCTTATCAATGTTTGATAAATTAATATGTTAAAAGTTTTGGTTAAGGTTTATTTTCAAACCAACGAATTAAATTAATATTAATTACAATATTTATTACTTTTTGAATCTTGTGATCCCTACTACAAATAAAAAAGCCAAAGTGGTCCCTGGTCAAAAGAATTTTGGAAACACTATCTATACTACAGATGATGCAAACGACACTGATGTCAACTTTGTACAAAAATGCTCAAAGAATGCAAACAAACAAACTGCATGCAAAAAAAAAAAATAAAAGAAAAAAAAAAACAAACAAAAGAAACAGCGAAATATAATACGGCTTGCTGCTTGGGATGCAGCTCGTAATCATGAGTGAGTGATAAGGAGAAATATGTGATAAAAACTGATAACTGTTTGCGATTCATTTTTCACTTATTTATATTTTTCATACTGTTAAACCATTAGAAGTTATGCGAAAAATTTTTCCCTCTTTCCTGCTTTTTTTCTCTATCCTTTTTTGCTCAAACATTCTTATAAAATACAATAATACATTCATTTTTGTCTTTTTCATTTATTCCAGAAATGAATCGAATTTATTAAAATGACAAGTTCGATCTTGAAATTAGGTTAGAAAGGTTGGACTAAATACTAGATTTTAATGAAATTAAAAAACTACGATAGACATTGGTTCCTTTTATAATTTTTTGATAGCATATAAAATCTAATGGAATACTTAATATGAAAATTTTTTTTCTAGAAAAAAAAACCAAATTTTGCCAAACGAATTAATAATTAGAAAAGATTGAAGGATGACAATTCAATATTAACGTTGGAACACTTTGTAACTGCAATTTTTTCAGGAAGCCATAGAATGCTGAAAAGACCATCAGATTTAGAAATTTCAAATACCAATCCCATTACTTCAAATGAAAGTTTCAGCACACAGTCAAAGTCGTGCTCCAGGTGACAGTTTATGTTGCTGAACTTTGGCTCTAAACTAGTTATTGAATGTTCTCCATAAATTAAAATAATTGTAATAGATAATTGCAAATTTTCGGTTGAAAATAATTCAAATGAAAACAAAATATTGTAGTTTGAAAAATCTGTCACCGCTATTACTAGCTAAATGTGTTAGATGCAACATTCCTTTTGCTGATGACGAAATATTTGTGAACACTGAAAGCAAAACTTGGCATCTTGAATGCTTTAGGTCAGTTTCCAACAATAATTAACCCTTTTTAAAAATATGAAAATAATTCTTTTTTGGTAATTAACAGAAGGATAATTATTTTTTCAAAATAAAGTAAAAAGCTTGATCAAAACTAATTAACAGAAAGGTAATTATTTTTTCAAAATGTAAAAAGCTTGATAAGATGAAAATTTGGAACGAATGAGAAGTGAATTTGTTTTTTGTTTTACCTCATTTTTACTTTCTTTTTTTTTGTTCAAAGAAAATTTGACAAAAAAATCCGAATGTTGTTCAAAACTATTGGAAGTGATTTGTTGATGATGAAATTTGATGAAGTTTTTTTTTTTTTTCTTGCAAATATTGAGGAAATAAGTTATAAATGTCAGTCTTTATAACTACTAACAAAACTGCAAATTGCGCCACATTCAAATTCCAAAAGCCATATGGTTCAATATTTTTCCTTCCTTTTTTTTTTTTTCAGATGCGTTCAGTGTTTTTGTCTTTTGCATAACGAATTACATTACGTCATTGATGGACGAAATTATTGTGAATATGATTTCAAAGTCCTTTACGCACCATCTTGCGCAAAATGTGGTATGCTTTTTGCTCAATGCACTTACGAATGAATAATTTAAGAATTAAATTCATAAGTTGATATAAGCCAAACTAAGAAATCTAAACAATCATAAATCTGTAGACAAATTTTATTCAAAAATTATATAATTATCAAATCCATATACATATCGCCACCACATCATTGCTAACTTTTCGTGAAAATTAAGAAAAAATTGGAGCAAAAAGTTTCTTTGAAAGTGCTTCGAAATTGTTTTAAAGGAAACCGTTCTCCTATTATTTTTTTTTTTTTTTTTTTTCAATGATATGTGACAGATTGTTTTTAACAAATTTATTTTATATTTCATGAATTTTTACATCATTTATTGATGTATTTTATGAAAAAACGTTCATAATATTACACAGTAAATTGACTAATTTTAAAATTCTTAATTGTAATGAATTTGTTGGGATTTTGCAAAAGATTTCATTAGTTCAAGAAATACGATTGAAATAAATTGAAAAGTTTTTAATCTTTAATCCTTGTTAGTATTACTGATTATAGATAAGATTGGTTTAGTGTCTTTCATATGCTGATTATGCCAATAATATCGAGCTATTTTATCCAGCAATATCTTTATCCAATATTTTTTGACTAAAGATCGAAGACTAAATAAAATAATAATGTGCCATGATATCATTTCGTATATTTGTTATAATATTGAGACGAATTTATCTCTGGAAGAGTTATTCGTGCAGCAAATTCAAATTGGCATCCGAAATGTCTCGAATGCAATCAGTGTGGGAAGTGGTTAGAAAATGATTGTGTTTGGTTTAAGAATTCGCAGTAAGTTTCCATCCATCCATTTTCAAATTTGCGTATACTTTACTATAATTAATGAATTACTAACATACATTTAAATTAATTTGAAAAGAGATAGAGGAAAAAAGATTTCAAAAATATTTTGTTTATACAAAACTCCCTATCCAGAAACACTCGTAAATTTTAGAATTTTATGTCAAAATTGCAATAAACTTGCAAAGATGGGAAATGAAAAACGATGTGCAAAATGTAAGTTTGTTAAATTCGATCACTTTGTGTGTTGCTTTTATTTCGAGCATTTCTCTTCTTTCATTTGGGAATTTCATAGAATTTTAATTCTCCAAAAATATTTTAAAGATATACCTACCACAATTAATATTTAGGTAATGCAATTATCGAGCATGGTACAGAGTTACAATATCAAGATAATATTTATCATTCTTATCATTTCTGCTGTGAAAATTGTCGGTAATAATTCTAACTCAAATTTTTTGTTCCTCTTAAATTCCTTTTTCACCTGATATAATTTGCTAATATCAAAAGTTGTAAAAAGTATATGTAGATAATTTGATTAACTAATTATTGTAATGCGAATAATTACAATAGGCGCTACAGGTCGTTAATGTAACACTGTTGACATTTAACTTTGAATGAATATCTAATAATTAATTGTAGGAAAGAATTAGATGGAAATGCTCGTTGTTTAAAGGATAAATTCTATTGTCAACATTGCTATGATCACCAATGTGCCTCCATATGTGGCGCATGTCGTCATCCAATTGAAAACGAAAAGAGTATTTTTGCTCTTGGGAAATACTGGCATATTGATGTAAGGAAATGTTTCCTGTCTTATCTGAAATTTTCAACTATATTTCTTTTTATCAATAAAAAAAAAGTTAGTAAATGAGTTATTTATTTTAAAAAAGAAAAAAAAGTATGCAATGGAGCAAATCAAATAACTAAAAATGAAGAATCGTATTTCTCTGTCAATATATTTTCTGATTTTTTTTTTTTTTTTTTTTTGGCAAATTTAAAGATTAATTGAATATTATCAGTTTTTCTTTTACAATTTATTTTAGCATTTTCTATGTGCCAAATGTGAGAAACCTTTTTATGGTAATAAATCAATTGAGAAAAATGGTCGAGCTTATTGTTACAGCTGTTATGGAAAGGTTTTAATCATACTTTTCTTATTCAAAAATTGCTTTGAACTGATTGATTGTTTATTTATTCTCAAATTTCAGCAATCATCTAAAAATGTTAATGCTTATGTTAGCTAATTTTAATGGTTGCATTAAAATGTGATGATGGACACATTGTTAGCAAAATTGATTATGGTAATTCAAATTTCAAAAAGCCTACGTTATTTTGATATCCTCTGCAAAACCCTGAAACTACAAATTTTGGCATTAACGAAATACTACCGTAGCCATTTCTATCAATGATGATTATTTCCAATTTTTCCGAGCTAATTTTAAGTGTTTTGCGGATATTTGTTTCAAATGCAATGGGATACTAATGGGCAGCAGTTTGAAAGTATTTGGTAAATGCTGGTGCCCAAAGTGTTACACCTGCTCAACTTGTGATACAATACTAAATCACAGGTACATATCTTTTCATTCTGTACAATTCAGTATTAATTCATAGATTACAAAAGCATATTTTTAAAAATAGATGACCAGTATGAATTTTAATGAGAAAATGAACCATAAGCACATATTAAATTTCATCAATTACTTCATGTTTCTTTTAATACACAGATCAAAGGTGATCGAATGGGATATGCGACCAATTTGCAAGAAATGTTTTGATTATTTTCCGAAAGAAATAAAACATCGAATGATCCAATGAAAAATCATTTTTCTTTATATTGTTTGGTTTTTTTTCTTTTTTTCTTTGCTGGATAGAGGAAGAAACAAAAAAAAGAAAAGCCAAGAATGATAAAAGGAAAATTGTATTATTCAAAATAAATTTCTGTTGTGGAAATAACTTAGAATACGAACAGAGGTTAAGGAAATATTATATGGCCAAGAACTTTTCATTGAAAAGCATGAATTATTCGGAAATATCAAATAATCTGATTAAAGCTGCTATTTTTTTCTGAAATTTTGACATTCAACAAATGGAATAGATACAAAATATTAACAGATACACTGCGGATATGGGTTGTCACATGAAGTTGGTCACATTGAAGCAAAATTGAAGGGAGAGCTTCACTCATTTCATCTGTAGTTCAAATATCTTCATTTCTGAATTATTTCTCTCAAAATAAACCAATGGTTCCGACAAATTCATCCTGAGGATATTCAAACTTCATACGTTCTACTCATACATTAGACAATGTGGAATATTATGATAGTTCCCTTTAGTTAACGTCTTCCACAGTGAATGATTAGACCAATTTTTTCTTCCTTTTCCTTTATTCTCATAATAATTTTGCAAATCTTCGGCGCGATACAATCGATTTCCACGTAAAAGTGCCAGAGACTGAAGTCTTTTTCCCATCATTTGATGGTCATTCTGGAAGTCCATTTGATCATTATTTTAAAAATTATTTTTGAAATTTAATGTAAGATTCCCATATAAGGAACAAAATAGCAAATAAGAAGTTAAATCCAATAGGATTTTTGGATATGGATCCAATAGGATCTTAAGATAGTCTTAAGATTGATTCTGCATATTCAGCAGCCTTCTTCAGTGACCTTTGTGATTTCCATACTTTCACACAATTCAATGCATGATAATTATGTAATGCTTCTTATCTTTAATGATATATTGCGCGTTTGTCAACTAATTTGTTTATATTTTTGCTCACTATGATTCTGCAAAGTGCATTTTTGCATGCACGATTAGTAGTTTGAACTTTTTCGACTTAAATGATAAAATTAAGTTTTTAGTATACAGTAAATCTACAAATGGAAAATGAAAATACGGAAAAATTACCTCGTCAGCACTTTTAACTAATGATAATTGATCATTAATAATAAACAGCATCGTGAAAAACATCGGAAAAAACATTCTGAAAATAAGTACAAATGATTTTGTCATAGATTTTAATGAAAAAGTCAAAATATACCTAATCCTCTTCTTTTAGCCTACTTTGATTTTTTGAAATCACCCGAAAGCAAGCCCGAGAATCATTATTCCAAGATAACTTCTATTAAGTAATTCAATTATTCCGCAATTTGGAAGAAGATGATGGCTTTGTGATCTTTTCGTTTGTGTAACCTAACTTTTTTTGCAAATAAAAATAATTGGGTAAGATAGTAATGTTTTAATTAATAACGCATAACGAGTGAAGTGGAAAAACAGAAAAATCATTAACTGCCATTTTCAGAAAGGTAAACCTCTTTTGGAAACCTTCCAAATATTTGAAAATATCAGTTTTGGCTTTTGCTTTCGGCTTTTCGATGCAGAAAAGAAACAGAACTTCAGTGCCCATTTTAAAGTAACAAATCTTCGTCACAGGCTTTTAAATAATTACGATAGAATCCCTCATTTGAATGTTGTAATGACTAGAAGTAATGCGATAAGTTTGCTGAAGGTCAAATTTCTGAACCATCTAGCACTGACCAATCCGAATAATTCTCTCCTTCCTAAAAAAAAAAAAAAGAAAAGAAAAAGATATCGGCATAATTAGTTGTTGAAAAAAGCTGAAATCCCAAATCCCAACAACTAATCATTATGGAGGCAACTAAATTGTTTCTATAATGATTAGTTGTTGAGGAAAACTTAAAATATCTACTGATAATTATAAGTATTGTATCATTCGGGTATTATTTATCTTGAAGTGTTTCCATCTAAAAATGTTTCATATTTGATATTTCTTATAACAATTTTTCAAATCTTAAACTAACTGATAACCAAAATCAAGTAATTTCCTAATACAGAAGCAATTATATTGTAAACATCTTTTGCACTTGAAAATTTGTTTCGCCCACCAATTAACAAAAGAAGCGCAGAACCTTTTTCATCTAAATATAACATAACAAAAATTATGTATTTAATCAGAATCCTTAAGATTTCATTTTCAACAATTTAGTAAAAATGTATGAAGAGTTAAATACAAACAATCCTCAATTTGCAATTATCTTAAAGGCTTGAATGAGACAGGAGAGAGAAATGGCGGAAAAAAAAATAAAATGAAAGAAGTTAGGATCGGAAAAAGTATAATTCGTATCCTGTCCTCAAAAGTGAATTAAAGAACTCAGTAAATTTCCGTATTGATGAAATATGATCAATGGACATATAAAGGAAGGATGAACAAATGAAAATTCACACCAAAATAGATATTTTTTCCCAGGGAAAAAGAAAAAGAAACAAAAAATATAAACAAATATTTGGCTTCTGGAAATATATTCCCTTCTGTTTTAAGAATTCATTCTTCCTAAAGGTATGAGGAGGAACAATTCCTTCTCTTTTTTGAAAAAGTTAGTGAAATGCTTTTTCATTAACCAAACAAATGTAGCTATGATTCTTATTTCAAGGATTCATGTCTCTAAATCCCATCAACCAAATTTAAGCAGAAATACTTTTTATTGTTTTATCGTTTATTGATATCCTTCTTTTGCTCCCTTTTAGGTATAAGTTTTAATACCTAACATCCATTCTATTCCTGTGCTTCATGTATTTTACTATTAGCTTTAAACGCTAAAAAAAAAGACAAGTTTGAGTAAGTGAACTTTGTAAAAAAATGACCAGTACTAACGCTGGAATAGAAATGAATGGCCATGTGCAACAATGTTTTGGAATAAATAAAACCTGCTGTATCTAATTAAATTCAAGTTAACTTATTTTATTCTCTCTATCAGTTACTATACCTTGTCACTCACTGGGTTAGCACAAGCAATTGAATTCAAGCTATCCCTTCATTATCATATTATTGATTTCAGCGACTTATATTACTTTTTCTTTATTAATGAAGGAATCTTTGTAATTTTAAGGAAATAAAAACTCAAGAATGATGTCTCTGAACCTTAATCCATCCAACCGCAGAGCTTATAAGTTCAACTTCTGGGATTACGAGATTACAAGTTCAAAGAGTGCAAAAATCAAGTCATTCCAACTTGTTAAATTCCTTTATAATCACATAAGGGATGTTTAGGAGTGTCACAGTAGTCATAATTTGTCCCTCGTAGAACGAGAAATCCACTGAACTGGGTAACCAAAAAATTTCCTATGTCCAAACCAGTGATTTCCATATTTTCATCAAAACCTTTTCGAAAACTTTAGACTATTACTTCATTTTACAAATATAGAACAGAGCAAAGGAAAAGCAATGCGTATAAGAAATTTTATACTACACTTCAGTTAATTAAAAGGAGAGAGACAGTAGAGACATATTAGCACAGTAAATAATGCAGTTATGTAACACAGCAATTTGTGAAAGCATAACCATTATTAACATGTATATGCTTTCTTAATAGTGAAGTTTAAAAGTTTAATTAGTTGTAAATCGGCTTTTGACTGTTAAAATTCCAATTATGCCTTGCTGAAGCATTCCTGTGAAATTCAAGTTCGGTATTCAGTAAACAGAAAGTTAATATTGGGAAACAAATCCTTTCCCTGCATAATTTTAAAATTTTAGTGTATTGGTACAATTTTTATAATACATCAAACGATGAGCATATTGTATGGTAAAAATGGTGAAACCGTGCAAGTTCTATGCCATGGCAAACGGTTCCGCAATTTCGATAAAGCGCTGATCCAGATATTGAACCTAAATATAGTAGCATGATTCGATGAAGTTAAAAAGTTCGTAATTTTCACAGTGCGAGGTAATATCCTCATCATCACCGAAGAGAGATAGGAATTTTTAATAGGAGTCCACCTTTTATGGAAATAATACACACAAACAAGTTACAGAGGGATTTTCGATTCTTTCTACGAACTATTTCTCCCAAAAAACATTCGACTAAAAATTAAAAGTAACTTTATTATATTGACCAGATTAATGACAAGGTTTGAAATAATGACTAAAAATGATTAAAATAAGGTTATGTCAGTAGACCCGGTAGAAAACAGAGCTATCAGAACTGATAGTACAATCCAAGAAATGAAACAAGTTTTTATATACGAGTAAAAATTATTTAATTAATCAAAAATTACAAGAATTGAAATGATAATGGATTAATGTATGTAAACTAAATATTTCATTAGATGTGATTGATTAATTAAAATAATATGCTAATGTTACACATAACTTAATTATACCAATCATTTTTAACAGCAGATTTTCATAGCGTGCTGGCACTAGTCATGTGCTAACAATTTAAAAAAATAACATTCCGAGTCAAAATACCTTTCGTCCAAGTTTCACTAATTCAGTTTGCAAATCCGAATCCCATTCGAAATGCAAAACAGCAGCCGGAAGAAGACTCAACTCAATTAGGGTTTTCGTATCATCACTGATTACTTTTCCAGATACAGGATCTTTCAAAACGAATAACATTGGTTCAATACGTGCCAAATGCTCTTCCACGAAATGGCGTACAGCAAAGAAAGGTTCATGGCATCCAAATGTACCCTGAAAATAGCAAAAAGTAAATAGCAAAAAGTAGATAGTAAAATATAGTAAAAGTCAAATGATTCAATAAAATACAGTTGTTCAAATGAATAACAGAACTTAAGAAAAACCAATCCTGAAACATGATTTATTGAAATCGATCTTTGCAGCTCTTCACTTCATGCATAATATAGCTAGAAAAACAGATGTTGATCCTGTACTATGTAAGATAGCTTATGCACAGAAGTCGTAAATTTCGAATTTCGCGCTGTATAACTATGCCTATGTTCATTTATAAAGTAAACCTGGCATGTGCAAAGAGAATTTCTCTTGAAATTCAGAAATCACTTCCACCTATAATGTTCTTCGCCATAACTACAAAACCGCTGCGAACCCAAAAAGGACAAAACAAAACTACAAAATTCAAGTATAAATAAACCTGCAAGAGAAAACGATTTGGAAACCTAATCCTAATCAAGGTGTAGTTATATCGATAGCTACGCATCAGTTCATCCTTTTCACGCATTTCCCGTGTTCGCAATGTCGTAAGCTGCAAAGAGAAAGTAAACAATGCTGCCAAATCAACTGCTAACAATAACTTCAATGTACAGTGACCACGCAACGTGATCTTTACTTCGATAAAATACAGCAGCCATAATCCCCAAGAGATGATTTTCGACATCACTGTAAATTCTAGCATACAACAAGACATTAAGATAGCTGCACACCAATTAATCACAAAATCCTATACGAAACACAGAAAGCTTACCTTCTCGACGTCAGCTTCTCTACACTGTTGTTCCTTTTTAATGTCAGCGAGATCTAAATCAAAAAAGTCGCGCGGCAATCGTGGATTTGTAATGACTTGATTTGCTTCAAGCTTATATACCTGTCCGAAATACTTAAATTAGACTTCCGCTTTCACAGTAGGAATTCATTGTAAAAACATAATACCTCCAAAGTGAAAATGGTTAACAACAATAATCATTGACCGCTAAATATTGAATCCAGAGAGCTATGTAAATAAACTTACAGCAGCATTGCGAGACAGCTTTAATGGGACAGCCTGGCCAGTTTGCAAAATTTCTAAAGCTTGTATCAACGACTGGGTATCAGCTGCTTTATCGTCTGGTAATACTAAGAAGGATTCCTGCTGTTCATTATTAATGAGCTTTTTTTCTTCAAAACCACATGCCAGCAAAAATTCTTTTCCACCGTTAGCACAAGAAACCCGCTCCTAAAAAAGATTATGGAATCCATTTCGAGCAAGTAAATTCCGAGCGAATTTTTCTATTTTTCATTTTCCTGAAAAACAACTTCAACTTATTAAACTACAAATGAGATAAATTCAAACACTAAATTGGTAGCCGAAAGCATTACGGATTGAACATTTGCATTTGAAAATCAATAAATTACTTGGAAAATCTTATTGTTAACTCTTATACGACGATATCTGCTTTCGTCTGGATTTTCGATAAGATTCCTGAGATATTTCTGAATTGTTTCCGAAGTAATTCGCTTTTTGTCGGGACCATTTAAAGAGAAAATCATTAACGTTGATGCAACTAGTGGGTCATCAGCCAACTGTGTTCGCAAAAAACTTTCCACTTTTTCCCGCATCTGTAATCTTAAAGCAGTTTTGATCAATACTTCAGAAATAGGCTTCAATAGTTATTCGGAAATTTCGATGTTAAGCATTACTTCGATATCTTTATCACTCCTAACTCACAAAAAAACTTGGGAAGTTCAGAAAATTAATATGGGCTGACCTCATTTTTCGTTAACTGCAGATCGTCACCAAGAAGGTCACAAGTGAAATAAACGCCACTGATTGCACCAGAATGCTCAAATTCACGCTCATCAACTACATGAGCCCTTATTCCAACGTCCACTTTGTCGCTAGCAGATCTTTCACGTTCTTTCTTTTCCTTCTCTAATTCTTTAAGAGCCTGAAAATAAAATATTATTTTCATCAATTACGGCAAAAGTTGCAATTACAATCCCCTTACAGGATTAGCTCTGATAACGTTACAACATTCGAACTGGTCTTGATGCTGCAATGGTTGATATAAAACCACTGTCCGTATTTTGCAATATGGGCTAGATAGCCATGCAAAGTGCTAGACCAACAAAATGTATTACAAATTTAGATTTCAATCGGTGAGACTTCTAAAAATCTTGCAATACGTTTCATGAAAAATCGATTTACTAAGAAAACTAACCCGTATGCGTATATTTCTTTGCGTTAATGATTCTTGGGTTACACCTAAGCTCATCCTCTTATAAGCCGCGTGTGCTGCAACATCAGCTGTGGCTATACGTTCCGCTGGTGCCATTTGTGACTGTAAGAAGCATTAAAATGAAAACGGAAAGAAATTAGTAAAAGCAGTAGAGTTCTAATGCCCACAAGCGCTTTTCCAAAGTTTTCAGATAAGAAGAAAAAACAATTTAATTCTTCCTCTCCTTTCTAACTACAGCTTGCTGTCAGGAAGAAAATAAAAAATAAAAATATTACGACCAAGAAACAAGCAATGACTAGAGAATAACGAAAAACATTTATACCAAAGGTTGAAAGTAAAAAAGGTACTCACAGTTTGTTGCTGAACATGGGCCGGTTGCGGTGCAACAGCCGATGAACTATCGTCGGTAAGACGATAACCAGCTCCAGCTTTCTTGAAGTTCTTGTTAACCTTTTTTTCAGCGAGAAATTTTTTCAAGCGATCCATGCAGTTTACAGTGTGAGTTTAGGGATCCCCTGCTGTATCTAAATCATAAAATACTTTCCGGAAATGCAAGAAATTATATTCAGCGAACAATTGACTTCTTAACCAAGATGAATTGGAATTGCCGAATCAAAAAACGATTTAAATATATAGCTGTGCTACAACTCTTTTCTAACGTAATCTCTTATCCCACAACATTTAAACACAAACTTCTTGAGAGCTTTTATCGAATTGAAAAAAATGGTTTTTACTGTTTTGGAATATCGTCCCCAAATCAGTGCTGATCAAAGTAGATTGGCAGCAAACTAAACGCAACTACAAACATTTACGGTAATAAAAAGAAGAATATTACTGCCATAGGAGGAAACGTCGGAAATGACGATTTCAAGAACTGTGAAATAAAGAAACGACATAATAGAAGGTCTGCCTCAGTACCAAACAAACTGAACCACGAGTATCGTCTCCGAATTTATTGTTCTTATTGTAATAATAAACAAAAACTAAAAACTGGAACATCAAATCTATCTAACTGTAATACACAGAAGATACAGTGACCTACAGTGACTGTATCAAGCTTTGCACTTCAAATCAATCTTTGCAATATTCCTGCTAATGTACACTAACTTCAGATAATCTTAATAAGAGCAAGATGCTTCGCAAAAAACCCAAATGAACTTTGGAAGAGGAAAACGACCATAAAAATAATAATGAAATTATTCCTAAATTCAAATTCAAATTACACCTCAAATTCATGGATGAATTCTGAAAATGCAGAAATCCAATTTATTCATTTGTTTTTCTCATCATGCTATTTGCAAAAGTAAAAGCATTTATTACATAAAATTAATAAATAGGATAAAGTGGAAAAAAGAAGCAAATATGCAACGAAATTACTTGCTTGATGAAGAATGACTATGAGGGAGAAGATAAACCTCACTTTACGCTTTACTACTCTTTAACGTATGTCCTAGACAAGTAGGAAATTGTTATTTCTATATTCTTTACATAATAGACGAAATTACTGCATTAATAAATAAAATATTAAGCACGACAAAACGTAGAATCTTTCAATACCATCAAACTTATCAACTTTCTAGTATTACGGCTAACTTTCCCTTCAATGAATTCTTATTCTAACGTCGAGTAAACTACGTGAAACACGTGTGCATTGGATACTTCACCGTTACAAACCAGCTGTTACGTAAGGAACTGCCAACAACCAATAGTACCGAAAGTAAACGATTGCAAACGACAGAAGAATAATTCAACCACTGTATTCGGAAAATCATCGCAAAACCCCGCTCATCATATGAAATGTTGGCGGAAGTTTAAATTTATATATACCGCCGAACACTTATTCGTTGATATTTACTCCCAAAATCTACTTATCAAAAGAACAGAGAAACTTTGCGTAACTGACTTACTTAATAACTGTGAAACAAACATTTAAGAAGTATACCACAAAGAGAGTTTGACTTTCTTCGCATATAGCTATCCATAAAATTACTCCATAGTCATTAGGATTCAGGTATGAGACAGATCTATGACGATAGTTTCAACTCAAAAAATTACGTATTTAAAATTTCGAATAGACTCATTTAGATGAAGAATTTAAATAAAACTTATTTAGAGATAATTTACTACACTCACAACGACCATCCAATAAACAATTATATATACTAGGAAAAAACAACACACACACACACACACGCACGCACACGCACACGAGTACGAATTATTCGAAAACAAAAGAATACAAATTAACTGTTATCGTTTTCAGAAATGATCGTATCAATGATTAGTGGCATCGGGAGCATGAAAAGTGATGCTAAATTTACGATAAATACATACAGTATTTTGTAGGATAACTTAAAATTACCGTATATTATAGATAAAATAAACAAAATATAGCTGCGATTCTGCATTATTATTATTGATAGTGTGAAGAAAGATTGTGGATGAAAAAGAATAAAACATTTGTTTTGGAGAAGTGAACATCATTCGAGGTTTCATAACACAAGTAATCAAATTTTAAGTAAATTAAAAAAAATAGTTTCTGACAAAATCCAAATGTTTAACCTAAAATTACAGCGCATTATAAATAAAGCAACAAATGTAAGCTAAAAAATACAGTATGAATAAAAAAAAATCTTGTTTTTTGCTTTCATATGTAATGAATGCAAAAATATAGTGAATAATGATTATAAATTGGATAAATTTTGTTTTTGAAATAAGTTATAGTATTACAGTATGCAACCACTTCAGCGTACGAAATCAATCAACATGCATCCAGTTCGATGTGCAAAATACTAATAAAAACGGGCGTGAAACGAGGTATCATGCCAAATAAGAAAAAAGGAAATCAAAGCCACAATTCTCTTATAAAAAAAAAAGTAGTTAAACCATTTGGTAATAAAAACGAAATCGAAACAGAAAATTTTGATTGGTCTGAGTTAAATGGAAAATTTTTGGAACAAAATTATTTGAAGAATCAGTTAAGTGTATTTTGACTCCTTTAGAAAATATATAGTACCAAAATATAGCCAGTGATTCAGTGCAAAAAAAAAAAAAAAAAAGTAACCAGTAACAAATTATTTGAAGATCTCTACTGTAGATTCCATCTCTGATAATGGTATTTGCAATTTTTTATTCATTTTAATTTCCAACTGTCCTCCTAATGTATGCATACGTTGGGCAAATTTGGATGCCATTGAATATTCATGGAATATTTTGGGGTCATTTAATTTTATTGCTACCTGAAAAACTCTACTTCACGTTACAAAAAGGATTTAAAAAAATTCATTTCCATGAATTTCATTTTATGTCAATTCCAATTTTTTTTTTTGTAAAGACATATAAACTCTTATTGGATGAAAGAAATTACTAAGTAATTTTACTTGCAATTTTGCGATATTTGTTGGTTCATTGATATGTCATTCATCATCATCTCGCTAATGGAATATTCTGGAGCTGATTAAAGTTTTACTGTCACCTTAAAATGTTTGATATAATACTTGTCTTAAGAATCTTTTAAAGCGGTTGCCACGTTGCAATTTTTTAGTTATAAATTTTTCAAGCTTAAAGAATTCAAGTGAAAATAAAGAAACACTTGAAAATGCTTCCGCAATGTTCACAGTTTAATTCATATAAAAGTTAAATGTACATACCGTAATTGTATTCCTTATCAAAAGCAGCTTCACCTAAACGTAATACAGTATTGATGAAGTAGTGATTATTGATGAAGTAGTGATCTACAACTTCTGCAGTTAACCCAAGAGCTTCAAAATTTTGAATACCCTACAAATATAAGAATTTTTGGTTGACGAACTGATTGATTGATTGACTATGCAGTATTTTGATTTCATTTTTTCTAACCAAAATTTTAACTGATATATTTGAATGATTTAGCAATATAATATCTTATAACTATGTGAAATGCTTATTCCCATTTTTGTCATAATTTTGAAAATACCTCGTTCAGTTCCATCTCTAAATCCTTGGAATACCTATTAATAAAGGAATTTTTATTCTGTATGCATTAGCAAGCAAATAAATTGATAAATTAGAAAATTTTAAAAGCTTTCTTTAAAGAAAAAAAAGAAAGAAAGAGAATACCTGGAGAAAAGTGAGAAATGAAAAGTGTAATTAAACCTAACCACCATTTATTTCATTATCAAAAAAACCCATATTGCGAAGACGATGGCATGTTTCATATATCAAATACAAGGCTTTAACTTGGCACTTTAACTTGACCAGATTCAACTATCGAAGCTATCTCAAATTTATCAGCTTTTGAGCTAATCGATAAAATCCACTTTAATTAAAATGAAGTCCATCGAGATAGTTTTAAGCATTTTTGCAAGCAATGCAAGCGATACCTTCATGCGCAACTATTGCTTTAGCATGCATTGATGAAAGACGCTAGAAGTAAACTGATTGCGACCAACTACCGATATACTTTTCTATCAGAAAGATGATTATCATCTGATAACCATCGACTGCTGCTGCACATGCTTCACTACAGATCCCATCCATGGATAGTAACAGTTCCTACATTTCATTTTAAATTTGGCTCTCAGTTAATATTTGCATTATATCAGAAGCATCCGACATCCCGACATCTGGACATCAGATTCTCCATATTAACCTTCTTTTATCTGCTTACAGCGCAGTTTATGCTTGATTTTAACATTTACTTGTTTTGAAAATCTTCGTGAACATTGCATGTAGGAATTAAATACTTATTTGTTCTGAAAATCAAAAAATTCCACATTCCCTACTTGATATCGATGTAACTGACAATGTTCTTACATTACTGTTAAGATGTCACTATTAATTAGCATATATATTAATTATAAGCTTAAAATGAGAAAATAAAATCATCTTTTAGCAGCTAAAGTAAGACAGCCTTCTTTTTTTCTTGTATTCTGATTCTAAGCCTGTAGTTAGCTTGCAAAATAATTTTTAATGAAAAAAAGGACGATTAATAGATTTAATATATTGTAGCACTTTTCTTCTGAGATGAAATCATTATCACAATCTTTGTTACAGATATCTCTTGATCTCTTGTGATAGTGATTTGAAATTGAAAATATTAAAACCTTCGAATCATGTATGGTGAGATCAACAACATTGATCAATTTTGTTCGCCATCTTTTATAAGCTGTTCGTTTCAAAGTTGACAAATTATCTCATAAATTCAATGAACTTCTAGATGATGTACCGAAGTAATTACTTTATTTGACTTGCACTACTTGCATTTTAGTACTAATGAAATCTTAACTAATGATGACACTTCCTGACCGAAGGATGATATATTTCCAAATTTAAAAAATGATTTGTATTATTAATGTTTCCAAATCGACGAGAAATAAGATAGGTTATTCCAGGATCAGCTCTTCTTCCAATTCCTCCATTGGTTCCTCCATTGACAACACGATTTGTTCCTTAAACGGATCAATTGATGGATTCGTTACCTAGCCATCCTTATTTGCAGATCTTCAACTCTCAGAAAAGTGCAAGATTTTAAGAGTACCCTTGGGAAGTTGACAATGTAAATTAGGAAGCCATTAAGTGCAGTAGTATCTCCTACTTCCTATGGATTCCATCCTTTTCACTATAATAATTTGATAAGTCATTCTAAAATGCCACAGTTTTCTTTTTCTGTTTTCATGAAATCGAATCTTATTTCATAATCAGAGACTAAACGATAATTCAGCAGTTAATCAATATCTCAATGTCAACAAATGATGACATATAGTGTTTATCATGAGGAAAGTTCAAGTAGAAAAAATTACAAGCGAAATTCTCATCAATCAAGAAAGTACAAATAACTATATACCTGTGCAAAAAGTTGTTAAAAGGATGAAAAAGATTTATGGATTATAATGAGAAAGACATACTAAAGCTGCATCGTTTCCCATTGAATCTAATGCTTCCTTCCTAAAAAGTAAATGCAATCATTTGATTCCAATTCTTCCAGTAAACAACTTGAGTAAAAAAAAAAAAAAAAAAACAAAATGGTTGAAGGTAATTGAATTGATTCTTAGAGAAAATAATTGAGATAAATGGTAGATGACGCTGTACACATGTTTTAATGAAAGGTTGAAGACATTTTGCGTGAAAATGACGTGGGATTAAAAGTTATTTTATATGAGAAATTTGTTCATCTCTTTTTTTGATGTTTAAATAAATTTGAAATATTATTTTATTGTATTGATTGTGATTTTGCACCCTTTATATTCTCAATAATATGAGTTGTTTTCTTAATTTTACAAGTAAATATGCTCATTTCTATAACTTATATAGCTTATGATACGTGTTACTTAACCCAAACTTACTTCTCAATAACCACCGATGCGATAAGTATAGCAAATGAATCTGATGTGTATGAAAATGCTATGAGACGTCGATCTTCATCTAGGTGGAAGTATTTGTGACGTTTTTTCGATATCTGATTATCAGTATCTCCCGTGAATCTTCCTTTATTCCACTGATATTCTAGTTTTCGCTTTATCAAATACTCATTCGTTATAGCTCCATGGAATGATTATAAGTAATACTTTTTTTCAATTAGCATTTGAAATTCCACTGTCATCATTTGTTGATCTCACTGTAACTTCATACAATTGATTACTCATTAGGATCAGTTTGTTAAATATGGAAAATCATTTCCCACATTCTTAGATTTTTAAGGATAAAATTATGTATCAAAAATGAGATTAGTACTCATTTGATTACTTAAATGTTAAAGAAAAATTTCCTATGCTCATAAATTTCCTGTCTACTTCAGCTGTAAAAATATAATAACCTGTTCCAAAGTTTATCTAATATTGCAGTTCAGTGAAAAAAATTATGCAACGTTTAGTACCATATCGTTTCCGAGAAGTTGATCGAGGTATATCCGAGTCGAATTTAAGTTTCTTGTGAGGTCGTATTTGTAGTTTCAAGTCGTTATCGCTTCAATTTTCTTTTCTACAGTATCTACAAGTAACATACAGCCAGGTTGCAATCTGTCCTGAAATAAATTAATGATCTTACTTGCTATACATCTGTTATTAATTGACTGATTAAATAATGAATATATATCGATTAGTAGGAAAGTTTCAAGACATTCGACATTCTTAATAAAGGAAATCCTTATCAGTTCATTGTTTCAAGTAAGCGATATGTCAAATATATGAAATAATTCGCTATTCGTCTAGACCTTAACTTAATTGATATAATTATGGAATTCAAATGGATTCAATGTAAAAATTGAGAAAAATTGTGGATTAGAAAAAAAATGAAAATCAGTAATGTCATATACAGTTTATCCATACAGATAAAAAAGTTTTTAAATAATTGCGGTAGCGAAACACCTGGAAAGAAAAGCCAAATAATGTAATCAGTATCTTTTTTAACTAATCTGAAAAAAAAAAACGGAAGCAAATGTGTGTTATAAAATCTTTTATTGCGAAATGATATTTTTTACTTAAGTATTATAAGATTATTAAGATTTCCTTTTTTTTCTTGAAATTTTAACTCCTTAGTTATTATTGACTGTAATAGAATTATCGTTTTCTGCAATTCTTTCTTTTTATTTTTAAAATAAATTTACTGAAATTCATTTAATGACTTATATATTGATGTTGTTTTGGCTTTAATAATAATTAATAACTATGAAATTATTTTATTTGGCTTTAATAAATTACTAACTATAAAATTATATGCGCCAAAAATTGTTCGATCAGCAAAATCAGTTAGAAACACTCATTTCGTAATTATTTTGGAAATCGCACTTTTCTCATTACAAACTTACAACCTCTACATGCATACACAATTATGTCTGAAAAAATTTCATAAATGTTAATCAGAAATTACTGCAATCAAATAAATTTGAAAAATCAAACCTTATCATAGAAAGATTACGAATGTAGAACTATGATTATAAATGATGGATAACTTATTGAGACTTTGTCACATCTTGGTCTTCAGGGGTTCTCATCTATGATCTCCTGATCCTATGACATTACATCATGCCAGGAAGACTTTCAGTTCTCGTCCTATAATCAAGGCGACATAACAAGATGAATATTAACCGGAAAAAAAAAGATAAAATATCGTATTATCAGCTGGTTAACCAAATCTTCAACAAGAAGGCTAAGATTGCAATGTTGTTTTTAAATTAGATAATTTCAGGATGAAATCAAACCAAAAAGTCAGATGTAATCAGAAACATTTATTTTGATTAAAATTAGTCTTAAGTTCAGCAGATTAAGAAAAACAAAGTAAAATTGATTTGTATACCTAAAAGGATTTTAAATTTGTTTGCATATTAAAAAGAAATGCGCCAATCAAAAAGTCCAATTTAAAAATCCATTAATAACTATTATATCATATTGACATTTCAGTTTGTTTGTTTAGTTATAACTTCACAGCTTTAGTAATAACTTAATTTTATTATTTTCCAATAACACCCTGTAACATCACTTTAATAATTGATAATTGTATCATTTAAAAGATAATTAACTGATAGGATTTATGTTATCACTAAGAAAAAGAAAAAAAAGCTTCAAATAAAGTTGAATGTAATTCAATAACTGCTGAAGTAATATATTTGTAAGCTTAATCAATTGCATATAGAATAATTATTTTAAATGGCTGAGATTATAGATTAATCTTTCCTTGTTAATTTTTATTAATGCCTAAATATTTCTTGAGTTTGATAATTTTTTTTTTTCAAATTTCAATAACTCTAAAAATATGTATTTCCATTTTCAACACAATATGCTAACAATATTGGCATAAAATTTAGAGCAAATACCGGATAAAATGCATATTCGATCAACAATGTACTTAAGTTTGACAGTTTTTAGGCATGCATATTCCTTTTTTTCATGGATTATACGAACAAATACCAAATATCGGCGCATTTGACTGTTAAGATATTTTGTTTTTATTGCTCATTAAATTATAATGTTAATTAATGTATAGTTATGACAGTTACTGATCCGATCATAAATGTTAAAACTGAATCTTTTGTAATTGTTGGAATTTGTAGACGAAAATTGAAAATTGATGATAAAGTTTTCTATTTTATTTTTTTTTCTTTTTTTTAGAATATGGAAAATATGATTACATGAAACAATTTGTTTTGTCACCATTAGGAATATTAACGCTGTTACGGAAATCGTCAGGGTAGTTTACTGACTTCTTATTGGCATCTTAAAAGAGACTTAGTTTGTCAGTTATTATGAATTCTTTTGGTCAAAGGGTTCAAATTTTTTATTCTTTTCAGAAATACAACAAACTTTTCAATATTCATTTAAGCTTTCTGAAAATGCATTGCCCGAAGTTTTTGCACAATTTGACAAATTTTACAAATCTTTTTTTTCATTCGATGTGAAATTTTTTAGTTATAATTATTTCTATTTGAAAATCCAATAGTATTAGTATCGATGTGATGTCATTGTTTGTCGTTTATATATTAAATTTAGCCATGCTATTAGTTACTCAAATATATCGCATATTTTATCTTTTATATTACTGATCTAAAATTATTATTGGATTTTAACTTGAGCTGGAAAGCAAAGAAGTTACAATGAAACAATTAAGTTTAAAGAGAGACTCGCTAAATCCTGTAGAGCTATTTGGTACTCACGTATTTGAATATCAGTTTTAATTAACGTCTGAGCATAAGTTAATTATCTTTTTAGCTAATAATTAATTTTCTAATAAATCAATGGTATAATATATTTTGTATTTTTTTTCAATTTCAAATTTTATTTGACAATTTTTTTCGTTTTTATTGCAGAAAAGTTTGCATCAAAAACAATTATATTGAAAAAAAAATGAATAATGGCTGAAAATTAAAAATTGACTTCTTTCGGCTGAGTTATTTCAAATTATTCGTTTTCTTGCTTGTTCTTGAAATAATTTCTCTTGAAATAAAAAAAAAAANAAAAAAAACAAACTACTATTTATTGTGAATAAATGAGGAAGCATTACTAAAAATTTTTTAATTAAAAAACAAT